AAGTGAGAATAATCTAAAAAGTAAAAGAAATGAATTGAAATTGGAAGAAGGCAAAAAATAATTGATATAGCAAGTATTTATTTTGCTTGTGCATGTGTGAATGTGTTTTGTACATACATTTCTGTGCTTATTTGACGTTAGTTTTGTTGTTGCCATTCTTTGGACTAAAAATTTGGTTTTTTGCGTTCCTTTACTTTTCCTGTTACTCTCTTTTAGTGAGCGCATTTTGCTTACGCTCTGGCATTTTGACACTTTTCAGATTTTAGTCCAAAAAGATAAGGAATGAACCTAATAGCACCTGACAAGCCGAGTTAAGTTTAGCACCAACTGCTTACAGCATAAATTTTAACGACGCTGTGTGTGGTATCATAAATTGTTTGGATTATTTCTTTCTTACTAAACATTTGTGTTCTTTTGCGTTCCTTTATTGATTTTGAAACTAAAAAAATTGATTACGCATTGTAAAAGCTGTGGAAAAAAGGAATCGTTTATTGAAGTGAAATAGCACGGTGACTACAGTTGTAGACGCCATCTTATAACTCATAAGGCTAATTACGTGAAAAATCGCCGTACTTGATCAAACATTTTGACTGACTAAAAATTTTGCTAAATGAGCTTGATTAATTTTCTCAATTCGAAGCTTAAACCCTCTGTAGAGTGCGAAGCGCTATGTGAGGATGGTTATTCTGCGAATAACTTAATTGCAGATGACGCTGAGCAGCTGTCACGCGGTTTCATGGCATATGCCGTCACCAAGCCGCCAGTTGAAATTGTTTTCGACTTCCCCAAAGCTGTTGAAGTGAAGGTCATCAAGCTGTGGAATAGCAATGGGTCTTTACGGTCGACGGCCATTGAGCTTCACGGTAAGTTCGAGGGCATTTGGGAACGTGTTGCTTATGCGCGTGACCTTGCTGAGGGCGTGGACTCGGTAACTTTTTGCTATCAAAGCGACTATAATTCTCGTAGCAATGCAGAAAGTGCTGCTAATCAAGCACAAAGCGTTAAGGCATTCTTCTTTAAGACAGCACATCGTTTACTTTCAAATGCCAGCAGTCTCAAAGTTATAGTTTGTGCTACTAAGCGAAGTCCACCAGTTCTGCGTAAAATAGAAGTATGGGGCCTGCCGTCGCGATTGTTAGAGAAAGCAGATCGAGAGCTAGTTAAAACCATCTGGAGTGAAATTGTAAACCCACAGGGTTTTCGCACACAGCAAGGTCGGGGTCAGCGCTCGCCCTCACGTAGCGTACCGGAGCTAAATGATTACTCTACCCTGAAAATACCCGAAGAGTTCCTTGATGAAATCACGTGGGAGCTAATGGTAAGTATTTTTTTAAGCGTAATTTTATCACAAATAAACTTGGCTGTATTTGTTAGATTTTTCCTACCGTGCTTCCGTCTGGCAAAATTGTAGATCAATCAACTATCGACAAGCATTCTGAAGTGGAGGCGAAGTGGGGTCGACTGCCATCGGATCCATTTACTGGCCTTGAATTTAC